TCTAAACCCCAACCTACCATCCAAACTACGGTACACCCTTTCCACCCAAACCTCACCCTTACCACCAACACCCCACCCCTACCACCCCAACTCTATCCCTGCCACCCCAAATTCATCAAATCTCATTTGAACGCACAAATTTTTATGCATACAACATTTGAAATTTTTCATTGATATCTAGCATCGAATTCAATCAGCTTTTCCTTCTCTTTGCAGATGCACAGAGTGTTTTGACTACTGTCTGTGCCATGCCTGCTTCCTAACCAACATTCACAGTGAACATTCCTTCAAATTCCGACAGGCAAGTGTGACAGGAGAACCACTTGTCCAGAATATTTTTTTACGTTTCAATATGGGCACACAAGGACTATGGTTGCTTTCATGTCTTTAAATTGTAAACAGTGTGATACATGTATATGCAAGCGTTTGATGGAAATAGAGTTGAGGATTCTTTGAAATAGCTGCAATGAGTCAAGTCTGAAACACGCAATCTTCCTTGGCGGGATTCAAATCCGGGTCACTTAGGTGAAAGCCAAGAAATGTACCACTGTGTCAACTTGACTTAATATACAGGTGTGTCTGGTCAGGTCCTGTACAGTCTGGTGGGTGGTAAGCAGTGTTTTGCCCATTGTGGGTGTGGTCTTGATTTCGGTGTGGTTTTGCCCTATTCCCCCATGCCACATCAGGTATATTCGGCTGTCATTTGACTGAATTATGTGGGGTCCACATCGTCCTTAATTCCAAAAATGTACCTCATTCCTAATTTACTTCATTGCAGTTGTCTATTATTATTTTATCCATGAGTCAATCGTGTGACAGAAACTTGTGGGTGCATGTACGTAGCCTCTTTCCAGTTAGCCTGTCATTGGTTCACATCACCTTTGGCGTTGGTTGGTTTGGATACAGAAGATGAATCAGCGCTGGCGCCCTGCCCAGCGCGGGTCTGGCTCGGCCTTACCTCAGGCTGTGCTGGACGACCTACTGGCCAGGGAGATATCCGAGGGAGACTATGACCTCTTACTGCAGCTGGACAGGTGAGCACTAACGGCCGGCTGCTGCGTCTACAGTTAGTAGCACCTGTCGCCTAGTCCTGTCGGTCTCTGAAGAATGAAGTATTTGGATGTTTGAAACAAACTGCCGTTAACTGAATTATTTGAAACTTGCCAAGTGCATTTTAAACAAGTGTTAGTTGCAGTTTCCATCTGCACTGGACAAAAGTTGTACATAGAGTGCTTGTAAAAATTGCATAGAGTGCTTGTAAAAATTGCATACAGCAATTGATGTTAAAGACTACAAATTGTTAGTTGTGGGTGCCTGCTGTGTCAGTATCGGTGACAGGTGTTCTTGCTGGTTATTAACCAAGGAAAGTTGAGAAATCGTTCATATGGTGTAATCACCACTTTTACCATAGAATAGCCATGACTTGATCCTTTATGATTATTCTTTGGTCAAGTTTCTTCTTTCAGTGAACATTAATCTTGAAAGTTTTCAGTCCTTCACCTGATTGAGGATGGCTAAGTTGAACATAACTGGTTTGTGGAAAAACTTTGTCTCTTTAAAAGTGACAGAGTACAATCAACTCACCTCAGCTTTGTTAGAAACCCTTAGCATTTTACACCAGAGTAAAATCTTTATTCATTGGGTTGGCAAACAGGTCAATCTGCTAAGTCTTCCCCAAGCCTTTGCCTCGGTTTATGCACACCCAATTCTCTAATTCTATACATGCACATAGTATTAGCTGATATAGCTTGCCTTTGTCAAAAAGTTGCAATTGTGGCTAAAAATAATACATGTACTGGTGGCAAGCATGTGGAAGTGGTTTTTCAACTCTGCAATCAAATCTTAACATTTGGGCATGTGCAGTTCTGACTCCCCCAATTCTGATCTCAAGGGAGTTGGTCAAAAACATTGGGAGCGATTTTTTTGGATCAAGATTTGAAAGTTTGGTTTCTTGTTGCCTGCATCAGCCAAACGGCCAACCAGCCCAGCAACATTCCGGAGAAGGTGATCAAGGGTTTCCCCACAGAGACGGTGCGGCAGGGCAGCGTGCTGCTCCACCCCGGGGTGCAGTGCAGGGTGTGTCTGCGGGGCTACAGCGTAGGGCAGGTGCTGAGACGCCTACCATGTAGGCACAAGGTGAGGCCCCTGAACTCTACAGTGGTGCCAAGCCAGATTCAACTTCATTGGGGTGCTAAGCAAATAGACAAACATTGGCTTGGCAAATTTACCAGATGAGCAAAAGCCAGCAGTAAATCACCCAAAATAAATATAAAAACCCATGCCATTTCAGCTGGTAACCTACGTTTGCTTTACAGCAAATACTGTCTTTGTTAAGCAAACATCTGTGCTTAGCTTCATGGAATTGGCTCATTGTGATCAATGCATCAACAGGAGATGGCACTGACCAACTTTTACTGAGCAGGCCGGTGTTAGGGACGCTTCATGTGTATGTTATGTTCATGTGGGTACGTGAAATATGGACATTTAATATTTGTCGGGATAGTCACAAATCTACCGTACCTGTGCATCGGCATTTACCTTGCATGTTCCTCAACATCTACCAATGAAAGCTCACTTGCCCATGCACAGTGGGTAAGGCAGGATTTCAGCTTCCACGTAAGCAAGTATATACATGTATCTAGAATGCATGAGCTGATTTAATTGGTCAAGTTTTGACATGGGAACAAAAGCCTCTTTAAAAGTGTACAAAGATACATGTATTTTGTGACAGAATCACATAGCTTTTGATGGCTAGACTGATCCTGATGTCCACAAGGGCGTTTTCACTCTTGGAATCCTGACATCGTGCTCATTTATGAGCATTCTTGATGCTCTTGCTGAAACGTTCATTGTCCTGTTTTGTCTCAAGTTCCACACCTCCTGCATCGATCCCTGGCTCCTCCACCAGCACCCGACTTGCCCCGTGGATGGCAGTCTCGTCTGGAGCCCGGGCAATGATGAGCCATCCACCTTGGCTAATCAGAATCAGCGGAGTAAACTGCCGGCGAATGGGAGTGTAGGCGCTGGGGAAGCTTTGGACATTCCCGGGATTGGGGTGACATCCGTGAGGCTTGGAAGGTAGGTTAGCAGTGTTGCTAAACTTTGCTCGTTTCCATTGCCAAATAATTAAAACCTATCACAGAAAAGTCTAGATCAACACCTGTTATTTTTTAATGGAGTGGTTTTTTTTTTACAAACCCTTTCTTAGATCTGGTGATGCCGTTTCTAAGGGGCGTCTTCGAGGCAGGCCCAGAATTGTTGAGAGAGCCCCAAGTGAGGATGTGGAGGGACTGGCTGCAGATTTTGCCCTGACGGGGCTGGGGATCGCATCACATGGCCGACCCCAGAGGTCAGACGTCACAGGTCATTTTTCACACTGAGTCTGACCAAACTGCCAAGTTGATAACTACATATACGTGTAGTTGGTCAAAATGACATGTACCCTACCCTCGGATCCCTGATTTTCAGTGTGGTTTAATATCACTTCACAGCTTAGTTATCATCTGCCTCAAAAGCTGATTGGGTTTTTTGTCACTGGGGGAATGAGACATCCACAGATAAAATGTATTTGACCGAAAAAAGGGCCCACATGAAAATGGTCACACAGGCTACATGTGCTTCTGAATGCATGAAAATTTTTTTTGAGCAGACACAAATCGAAATTCTGGAAAACCGTGAACAGGTATGAAAGATCAGACACCGGAGTGCGGGAATGGCATTCTTAAGGGCAAAACTTTGGATAAAATAATCGTAATTTAACACTTTATTTTAACGGCTAGAGATCAGCCAAACTCGAGAGAGATGACAAGGCTACAGCCGAGAAGAAATGGCAGTCCAAGAGCATACGTGGACTTTGACATTGGAGGAGATGGGGTGGCAGACCCGGCAATCAATATGGAAGCCATTAATGCAATTGCGAGTGCCAACAATGACAGCGGGTTGTCCCAGGACCTGCCCTTCGAGAAGCAATCTGGTGAGTTGCGGCAAGGGCATGTGAATGGTCAGCCAGCTCAACCAGAGAATTGGGCGTACAATTCTTCCTCGAGGTCCGTTCACCATTCGCGGATTGAGCAAGACACTGCCGGTGGAAATAGCCAGGTGCCAGTTCCACCACGACTTGAAACCCTGATTCTCCCGGGTGCTACCACGTCAACAAAGAAAACCAGACATCAACCCCTACGGGGTGCAGCCTTGACCGGGAGACCACCCCTCCCCACCCAGCCCCTGGTGGACCTTTCCACTGCTCCATCCATTCCCCTCCGGAGGGAGAGTGCCATGGCCCCCATAGGAAACAGCCGACAGCAGAGTACCAGTGCACCAAGCCCGGGCCAGAGGACTGTTCCATTGGAGGCGGAGGGGTCACCAGGCCGCAGACCTCCATTGCCAACAGGTGAGCAAAATGATTGCCAGCTATTTGTGACAAACATTGTGGGTGGAGTTCATCAAAAGCAGGCCCAAGAGTATCGTTTAGCCGCTTGAATAACTGATTTGTGTACCCATTCCTATAATTTAGAACCTGTCCTTGACTTCAACAGTCAGGTGTTCAGGCTATTTCAAAATGCATCATTGGTATACATGTACATATCATTTTGTCAAGTTCCCTGACTTGCAAATACTTTCTCCCACCTCTTTGTAATGTTGCTCAGGGGGCTCCCCTGGATCAGTCAGAGACCGTGGACGGCAGCCAGTCAGGAATGTCCGGTCAACGCCTCCTAGGAGAGCCCGAAGCATCAGTGTGGAGCGCAGCAGATCGCGGGAGAGGCTCCACCCACCAAACGTCGACAAACAACAGGTGACTTCAGCAAAAGACAAGAAGAACCCAAGAAAAAAATGTCCCTTTGTCCATACATCTAGCAAGGATAAGGAGAATTTTACTTTCAGACAAGGCACTTTCGTAGTTATTATACCATTGTTCGTTCAGAAATGAACTCAGAAAATCTCTTCTGCTTGCAGGTTTTGGAGGACCTCTTCCTGGGGTTGTCACCCGGTGGCCAGCACGTTCCCTTGGCCAACAGTTCCGGGCAAGTCAAAGGCCGCAGGTCATCGCCACTGAGGTCAAGGGTAGGCCAGTTCCACGGTGGAGCTCAGGTTAAGAGAGAGGAGCAGCTCAGTGAGGGAATTTCAGGCAGTGGACTGAGCTCGCAAGTGCAGTAATATTGGCCATTATGAGGCCATCTTGGTCTGGTGCCCTGTGACGAGTGTGATGAATTCAATGGAGAAGTGAGAGACCGGAATGGGACCAGCCTGTGTGGGTAGAAAGTGTAGAAAGTTTCTGCGATGCAGAAAGTGTACATGTACAATGTACTTTGCTTCCAAGGAATTTTTGATAATCTTCAGGTCCCCAAGATTGGGTCATAGGTTAACAAAAGTTAAGAGTCAACCTTGGTGGCCATAGATGTAATGTCTCTTGATGTGGTAATTTAGGGATGACTCAGTTTAATGAGTGCAATTTGATGTAGACTGGAGTTATGCAATGCACATTCTGTTTTGTGCACAAAGAATTCATCAAGGAGTATTATACAAGTATTTCTTCCAATTTCTTCCTTGTGTTTTTGAAATATTGGTTCGAAGAGAAATAAAATTATACAATTTACATGTATATAACTGTTAAATGCCAAGCTGGTGATTTCTGGATGTTTTGCTCTCTGCATTTCAACACAATTATTAAACCACACAATAATACAAATTAGCAAGTTTGAAGTACAGCTTGTCAACTGTTTATTAGAGACTATCCATACACCCTAACTTGTCCTTTCACACATTAAATACAATTTTAGGGTTGTCCGTTTTATTTTTAACATAAGATAAAAGTTTATGATTGATGGCAATTTCATGTGAAACACATAAAAGGGAAGTACATGTAGTACCCTGTCCCACTGTGCACAGGAGCAGTATGACTTCATCATCACCATGATCAGAGCCAGACTACACGTAGGCCACAACTGCATGTACATGTATATACTTACTTCCAACTTGTCTGTGCACTTCAGTTTTTCTGCACTGTGGCAAAAAATTACTGAAAATTCTCCTTGCATCTCGTAACTTTGTTGGATCTCACACCTAAAGTTTCCTGTACTCTGAACAGTACGTGTAATCACAAAAGACAATAAATACAGTACTAACGCAACACAAAAATGACGGTTTCCAAAACAAAAACTGGAACTTTACAACACCAAACAAAAAAGTAAAGAAAAGTTATATCAGCCAGGGAAACAAAACAATAGGGATTAGGCTCCTCAGTGTTATGATGGGCTTCAGTTTAATCGAAATATTAATGAAAGGTCACGTAATTTGCACAGCAATAAAAATCTTATTCCTTGCACAGAAGAACAATTTTTTATGATTCCCAAAGAAAGAAAAAATATGCCCCCCTTTTCATTCTAACACTTTCGACTGCTGATTCCTAATGATTTTCTGCATTTTCTTTGGCCACCTTAGAATCAAGTTGTTTCAGAACAACTGGTATGGCCGATTACATTTTCAATCCTAGCTGATGATCTCCCTAGACTAGTCAGCAATTAATGACCAGCCTGTCAGGGTGATTACATCGTAGTTTGGTTCCCTGACCACAAGATTCTATTTAAAAGAAACATGGGGTCTGACAGCAGCCAGTGTCAAATGACCCAAGACGGGACCTTTCAGAGAGTCATAAATTCCATGGATTTTTCAAAACACATTTGCATTAATTTTGGGAAACATTACTTATTGTTCATGAATATCTGGCACGTATGTATACAAAGTGCTTTTCTTTTCAGCTTTCAGAAGTTCTTGATATTTATGTTTATCGACTGATGCTTACAAAGCTTTAATCAGCAAACTTTTAAAACAAACAGACATGCAGGCTTGCATCTAAAAATAGCTGCGCTTCCCCCCAGACGTCCATGTTGTATTTTATTGGTCATGCCTGCCTGACCAACAATTCACAGACACCAAGGAAATGTCAAGTAGGTGAACCAGACTACAGAGCATAACTGGTTGGAAATCCTGTGCTACCCGTCTGGTGTTCCAGATTACAGAATTGTGGTGACATCCTTTCACCCATTTCGGTACAGGTGAAACCTGACAAATGTTTGTGCCTCGACCATGATTCATTCCAAGATTATATCCAATGGAAACCGTACAACAGACTTTCCCCAAAAGTGCAGACATTGTGACCAGGCCACGACAGCTGACTACAACAGTTACGTTTCAACTCACTTGCTCAGAACCTGTATACATGTACATGTACTTTGCATTAAAAAAACCCCAGTTTGGCAATCTCTTTATCTTTCACCAGCCCAATGAGGGTTTTACCGGGCCCAATATTATTTCATTCAAGACTGACTCCTCAATACCATTAGCATGGAGTGTTATGATACGTGTACTCGTATCTGACTTTCATGTACTTGACTACAACTTCAATACTGTAGCACTCACACTCATGGGAGTGAACTTGATGAGTCTGCTTGGAAGTTGGGCCAGGAAGGGTGTGAATTTACCCCAAGTCATCACCCCCAAATTTTAAAATGTAAAAAAAACTGTAGGGAACAGGCCAACTTAATGGCTGACATTTTTGGGGGTTTTTTGTTTTGTTTTTCAAATGCAGAGATTTTACCAGTCCTTGTTGCCATGACAACGGGAAGCGTTTCTAGTAGAGCGTTTCCGCATTGCTGTTCCGTGGCTTCTTAATCTTCTCTTTGTTTTTCATGATGAGATCGTAGAGAGACAGCTGTGCAATGAGAAATGAAGGATAATTTACGATTCAAGCATCGGCCTCTTCATGAACACACTAGGGGGCCCTTAATGTAAAGATCACACTTACAAAAGTGAATGGTCAGTTAGAGCAGGACTTACATATGTGTTCCTGAGTTCGGCACATGTAAGCCTCAGATTGAGGAACTCCTTTTCATCAATCTCAAACACACTCCGCCTGTAGTCCTCCTAAAAACACAATAAAAATGTTGCCTTGCCGTTATCCAATGAATAACATAGACCACATAACCCCAGACTGGGTGGTTTTGTAAGTTATGAGAAGAACCTGTGAAATGACCACAGCTGCAGAAGCATTCTCAAAAGTACAATACAATTATCTACCCAGGGATATCTGCTGTTTTATGCAATGGGCAGACTGTTGTGATGTTGCCTTATTTCAAACCTCATTCTCTCATCTTAAGACTTGAAGCGATGAAGTGTTCAAGGTGTTAGCACAGCCAACTGGAAAAAAGTGCTAAAATTTCTTTTTATTTTTCATTACACCTCTTATGAACAAATGATGCAAATTTTCTGGAAAATGTAAAAAAGAGATCAAACTGGAAAACTGCATCAATATTCTGTCTGCTTGTATTATGGTTCATTACTCACTCACCAAGACATGTATATTAAGTTTCTTCATTTTTGCTTTAATGAGGAAATGTTTTTTTCAGTGGCTGAAGGTCCCCTCATTTCATCTTGTGGTTGACTGTATGTTTGCATACTTTGAATTTGCCTGGCACAATTCAGCACATGAATGCTCCCCCAGACAGGATTGCCACAAAATAAGAGAAAATGTAGACTGTGGGATAAAAATTAGGGTTATGCACAGGTGCATTTGCAATTAAGGAGAGAACTTACGACGTGTGGATACTTGGCCACTTTACTGATCAGCTTCGCCCGAGTGATAAAGTACCGGGAGATCTGGTCCAGATAGGCCCCCGTCTCGCTCTCCACTTGCCTCAGCTCTGCTAACGTGTCCTCCTAGAGGGGCAAACAAATTGCAGGGCAGGACGACAGCATGGTCAGTGAATAGATCTACTCAAAATAACTATCGGCTCTCAGTTCTGTGCCTAGAACCCCAGAAAACAGTGAAACATGGAAATGAAATGGGCTGCTTGCATCGCTAACCCCTGGTATGAAAGAGACATGGCTTACAAGATTGCTCTTGTACCACCACTGCCAATGCTCACAGCCAAAACATTCGTACACATTAAAATAAAAATTAGGCATATGAATACATACGGCAGCACAGGCACTCGGGTTGCTATCAACATGTGTTTAAGCCTTCGTGAGACCAATACTTTCTAGGGCTGCACAGTCCAGCCAATTTTAAGGAAATTTGAAGAGTTCCGGTTTTGCAATGCTCTACACAGTTTGGAATGTATGTAAAGTATTTCAAATGTAGCCTTTGTAAATTGAAGTCAAAACTTAACACACTGTTGCTGCGATTACTAAGACCATTTAATTATCAGGATTCTTCTGCTCAAATTGTGAATGCGACATTTCCTCGCTGAAAATACTGGGAAAACTTTGCTAACTGGCCTACCATCATAAATCAAACAATATATATTACAAAAGAAATGAATATCGACAACAGCAAAATGTAAAAAAATCTGACAAATTTCGGTCATGAAATGACTCTTAACCACTTCCTGCCAGGGAGCCAGCTTTCGGGGCACATAGGCTTTATATCAGAAACTGGGGAGCCAGAAACCAGACAAAAGAGCTAGGCCTTATAACAAAAGACTGTACTCAAAACAAAAGACCAAGCTGCTGGGAATTGCTAACATTTTTTGGGTGTCAATAGAGAAGGAAATCCGTCATTGTTTTGAAAGATTATACCACTGTTTGTGGCATTCAGTGCAAGCAGATTACCACCGGGGACAAAAGTGCTCCAATGATGAGCAATACCGCTGCACACTAATCTCGCCCCTATTGATAAGACGACAGCTGCTCACTGTGCCATTCGGGAACAAAAGAAACTTATTTAACACCACACAATCTGGGCTCTTTTTACCAGGCAGCAGGACTGGCTGAAATACTTGGGCATCAATAGAGGGATTTCACATTGGCGCCGTCTGCGCACATCTGCATCGAAACCGAGGCTCTCTATGTTGAACTTCGCCGCGCGCGCCCGTGGAGTCTAAACAGTATATGCAGTATCCGGTTCGTAAGTGTGATGCCACTTCAGTTTAAACCGCGCCCACTGCACAAGATACACGACCATCGCTGGTACGTTAGTTCGCGGTCAATTTTCGTTATTTTTTCTTTTGATTTTACGTGTCGAGTCATCCTGAAAGACTCTTCCACAAAAATGTGCAGCCTAAAAAGTCTGAATTTAACATACCTTCATGTATTTTGTGTCTTGACTCCTTACTTTCAATGGTCTGATCGTATTAAGAATTGAAGCTGACACATACAGCCTCGTTTTCAAACGCGGAAATGCGCAGATCGACGCTAAAAGCATTGCATTGGGATCAATCTATAGATGTTGTCTGGTAGATTAGAGTAGCCACCAGACAGTCATTTGTGTTGGTGTAAACATCCCATAAATGAAGTTATGATTTTTTGAAGAATTTTGAAAATGGAAAATCTTGAAAATCTCCCAGATTTACGTCATGCAACTTCAAATTACTCTCGGCAGGAAATGGTTAATATTGATATTCCTTCCTGCGATGACATCACACTTTTGTTCATGACTGTTGAAATTTGTACTTAAAACCAAAATGAATGCTCCAAGGTACCGGTACCCTTTAAATGAAAGAACCAAAATTTGAAATGACTGTTCATGGACACAAAGCTACATTTGAAGGATTTCATTTTCAGAGTTGCATTATCTATATCCTGTCTTGTGCTGGGGTTACTCCACATACATTACATGTACATTTATTGCATGAGTTGCACAAGAAGTCATTCAGCATTTCAAGAGAGTTATGCAATTTTATACATACGTGTAATTCAACTGTCCACCAATACTGTATTCGAGTCCATCACAAGTCCCTCTAAGTCATTTTGTCTCAAGCCAATTCACAAGCTACATGTATTCAAATGAGCTGTGACAAAAGCATTCTTCTGTCATTGTTTACCCTGTAACTTATGACTGGCCTTGTGAAGGGACTTGTGACTGGACTTGTGAAAGGACTTGTGATGGGCTTGAATACAACACTGCTGTCCACAGGAAAGCCATGAATGCAACTCACCTGGATGGAGACGCCAAAGTTGTTACCGTCTTCGATTCGGGGGATGAGGAGCTGGATCCACATTTTCAGTGTGTTGATGTGGTCAATCATGAGACACACCCGGGGCTTGAGGATGTTGATGATGTCCACCAGGTGCTTGTTGCACGGCGCCAGTCCGTCGGGCAGCGCCAACACCCGGGACCCTAGGGGTATTGAACAATCACAGGAGGGGAGTTTTAAGCAAGTCAAATTGGCGCGGTGGTTCTTTCCTCACCTTTTGCCTCTGTGACTCGGGTTTCAGTTTGAAACCAGGTCCATGTGGAGGGTTTTATCCAGAATATTCCTCTGGGTTCTTCCACCCACCCCTAAAACTGTGACTGCTTCTCACTGCTCTTGACAGCTTTCTTCAGGGTTGCAAATTACAGTGCCCAAAACATTACCAAGGAATCCCTGGTTTCATCACCAGAAATGTTTATTTTTTAATTAATAATAAAAATGCCTCCGATGGGATGTTCCATCTGGTGCATCAGACGCCTATCCAGATCAAGATACATGAATACAGATCCCCTGAGTGATATACATGAACTGTTACTACCCCTGCTCATCATGCCCATGGAGCATTTCTCAGAATCTCAGCTACACAAAGATTGCACAGCTCTGTGCTGGTATTTCCAGACAAGCAGCTTCATTTTTATGCACTCACAAACATTTCACACCCTCTGAGACATACCTTTGGGGGTACCACACGTGCCACACTTCCACTGCCATGCCTAATTTGGACAACTGATTACAAAGATGGACATCAAAGATGTACAAACCTTGTACTGATTTCATGTCTAGTTCCCCGTCTTCTTCTACTTTCCTCTTTTTTCTCTCTGGCATCTGTAAGGCGAACGAAAAGATTAGGAGCATCAAATTTACAAATTCGTTTTACAACAGCTGCTATAGGTGACTTCAAGAACCATTCTGTCATTTGAATGCACTTAGGTTGGTCCAAAAGGGATCCCCTTGTTCCAATTTGTAAAGCCATCTTTTCTACGATGAAACAATTTACAAAGACTAGAATGTTAAAATTCTTGTGGGTTTCCCCATTCAAATGTTCAACAGCAAAATAAAAACTACTGAAATCCAACAATGTTTTTGAGGGCAAAACTTCTGTTAAGTGTGGGACATAGCGTGCATGAATTTTGGACTTGCCCATAAAAGTTCAAGGCACCACTTCATAATCCCTACTTTGGATCTTATGGTAAAAACATAACATATATGGCAAAACATGAACTTTTCCTCATCAAAATGCTTGTACCACACCCGAGATCAATTGACTACTGGCACATACATGTGCAATCAGAACCCTGAGCAATGGGGGAAGACTTTGGTACCAGGAAGGCTTTCATGAAAACTGAAATGACAAATTGTCCAATCAGATCCTAGATTCAACAAAACCAAAAAGACAAATTGCATCTCATAGACCCTTGAATAGCCAAGCTAAAGAAACAGATCAGCGTTTCAGAGTGGGTTTGCGGGTCTTACGTCACTATTGATGACAACCAGTGGCTCTGGTACAGGGATGTTCAGTTTGCTGTGGACCTCCGGCATTCTACTTCTGGACAGCATTTCGGACTGCAAACAACAATGGAATAAAACTAATTAAGGGTATTAACCACTGCACGCTGGAGACCATTAACCCTTACCCTCTTGAATTCTCCCAAATCCTCTGCGTGGTTATGGAAGATAAAGGAAGAATGGCTAAAAAGGGTGGCTGACTGCAAAAGATGTCAAAGTTGTAAATACTTTACATGTGTGAAATTCTCCATAGGGCTCCAGGAGACCATTTGCACTGACTCAACACAATAACAGGAATTGCCGGGAAGACTTTGAAGGATTGAGGCAGTGGAAACCCCTCAAAGTAGCCTATTTAAGAAATAGTGGAGGATTTTGAAGGAATGAAGTAAAATGCAAATTTTTTACACAGGTACTGGTGATTGGAGGATTCTGAAGGATTGCAGATGGTGCCTAGCATCTGTTACACATTTTTATGATCTCGATGGGAAGCAATGATGGCGTATCGCTGGATTCGTTTGACGTACCTGGTGCAGCTCATTCAGCTCAACAATCTTCTGCGGGAAAACGGTGTGAACCAGACTCTCAGCCTGAACACAAAGATAAAGGGCCAATTAATGTGAAAACTCGCTCAACACTTTTGCAACAGTTATCGGAAATGACCGATAATCTGACAAAGATTTACAAATATCTGACTTGGGAAACACATCTCACCTCCTCAAGAAGTCTATTCTTGAAATCTTCAACCTGTGCATGGTGACAGAAAGGGGAATCAAACATAAATGTACTGTGAAACCTTTCATAACTGAAGACCATTGGCGTGATTTCTTTGAAAACATTTGCACAATACCCTGTACATGTAGGTGTGTAAATCCAAGCAAATACGCTGAATTCTTGTGTTTTTGATTCTGAAAACGTTGCTGCTGAACTGGTCTAGATATTCTTTTGCTTTGGTACATGTTGCTGTTTTGCACGCCAACGACAATGCATGATTACACATCAACCCCAACAATGGCGTGTATGCAGAGCGCGCAGGACTCTGATGCATCACTTGTACAAGTTCGGGCAACAGCTATTTCTTAACCACTGAACGATTTTACTTGGTGTCATATATGCAAAAAGTACACACACAAATGCCAGGCAAAATTCACTAATGTTGAAATGACAACGACATGTACATGTGAAACAGTCTTTGAGCTTCCGTCTGTCAAAGCTCCGCTGCACAGCGCATGCAGATGTACCCAGACAAAAGGGTATTTTTACAGAGTACCTGTGTATGCACTTTTTCTTGTGTGGAAAGGTGCCCTGCTAAATGTACAGTGTGCTTTATACTTGTACAAGCGAGTCTGTACATACTGTACATGTACATAACGATACAAAATCATTGTACACCACACAGCTGTTTACTTTTTACCACTTTTTATAAGCTTTATGTAAACAAATCAAAGGTAAATTTGCTGACTGCGATTCTTGACCGTGAGAAACGGGCACTTTAATTTCAAGAAAAAAGTACCTGTCCATCGGGCACTTTGTCCCAGGAAATCAGACAACCATTAATGTCAAGACCTGGACGGTACCACAATTTGAACTTGTGCCACTTGTGTCCTGACTGGGCCAGCACTGTGCACTAACGCTGCACAGCCATGCCTTTACTTGATCATGAAAGGTGAATTCAATAATGATATCGTATTGGTTGAATGGCAGCTGCATGACAAAATAATAATGTGGGACCAGTTCACAGCAAATGTAATGTACACTTTGCTGTGAAAACGACTGTAATGCAACAAAATGATATCTACCAGTGCCACCTCACATGGTGTTATGGAAGCTATTCAAAATTGGACCATCACGCCTACCAGCAGGTCACACTCATCAAATACGAGTGGAAAGCATTCCATATATGGAAGCCTTTTGGACACCCTGTCATGCCTGTGCAAAAACCCTACCAAAAATGAAACTGGTCTGAAAAATTTTAAGATTTTCAAGTGAACAGGCCTAGCCATGCCTGGGCCTACTCAATATTTTAACAACTACATTTGACTTTTTAGGATATTTTGTTGCTTGCAAGTTCCAGATGGCTAATAGTAGGCTTAATACTTTTACAATGTTTTATAGGTCCCTGCAGGAATAAATTAGCAGCATCCATCAATAATGAAATGGTTTCCCACCAAGTTTTCCCCTCTTTCATTTCTTGTTTTTTACATGATGCATGACGTTTAACCTGATTTCCCAAATCTCCTTCATTGTAAAATACCCATAGGCCTACTCCTATGACAAACGGACATGACGGACATAAGCCTAAAAACAGTAACACTTTGACTTTGTAGGCCTTCACTTAAATTAGCACAATAGCAGGTTTTCCTTACAAAAATGCTTTCGTATTTACGACACTCAAAATGTTGTGGTCATCATCATTCTCATTGTTAGTGTGATCATGGAGGTGATCCAATGCAATATGCAACTTCATCTTGCTAGCACCAACAGTAACAAGCATGACTAGGTCTAGTAGAAGGCCCTAGCAAGCTAGGCCTACATCCTGCAAATTTTTTTGTAATGTACATGTATGTAGAATGCCTAGTGAGTCATGTGAGTAGAAGTTAGAACTTCTGGTTCCAAGTTTTCATTTCATCCACAATGATCCAATTCAAACCCACCTTTCCTAAATCTGTATCAGACATGTCTTACGAGATGGTAATGGTAATAACCGATGGAAGAGTGACTGTTTCTTCCCAATTTAAAATAAAAGACTGGCAAAAATCAGAGTCACGTTTGCAAATTGCTAGCATGTGTGGTTTCAGTCTAAAACCCTGTTTGTTGAACTGGGAGTCGACCAAGGTTTCTCTTCAGGAACCAGACTAAAGTGTTTGGAAATGCAAAACCCGCGAATAACTACCTACCAGTAGAGGGCGTTTGTCGAATCAATACGCTGTAAAAATATCCTGACGGCCAAACCCGGCCGCAAGTTGAGTAGCTGAAAAAAAAATGGTATTGAACTGTTTCCTGAAATTTTAACTTCTAGGTCTCAAAATTACTCACAGTTTGCCATTCATCCAGTGAATTGCCATGATAAAGTTAGGAAATTTCTGAAGAGTCGCAAATGCGTCAGCCCAGTCGCCAGCTTCAGGCATCGGAGGCCACGTAGGGGGCCATGTACATGTACATGTAACATATTAACATATTATTCATGCTTATGTTTTTACTGCTTTTATGGGGGTCCAGCTTCTTGCCAAGGGTCCGCCCCCCCCCCTTTGCGACGGGGCCGCCATGCGTGGATGCCATGCCATGAATTTTCATTTAGGCCTACCAGAAAGCCTGAATTTAGCCGCCGGACACAGGTTAAGTTCAATACCAGGATTTTGAACATCTCTCTTATCAGTAACTTTATTGAAAATGACAGATTTTGTTACTCATAGGTGCAAAATCACAATGCTGAATAATTACTTTCGCTTGACTGAACATCATATATTGTGTAGAAGTCCACAATGTTCATGATTGTTTGATGATGTAATACATAATGTATAACTTCACATTATAGATAATTATGGATCATGAACCAGTTACTTTTGTTTACGTAAGCTGCATGCTCTCTTGGTAAGTGGCATCTTTCCTCCTTCCTCGTTTAAATGGTTGGGCACGATCTAATCACCTTATTTTTTTTCCAATTCCATTGTGGGTCCTTTAATTTTCGAAGGTTTCGAAGACGTCAGAAGTATAGATACTCTTTTAAAAGGGATACAGTCGATCATTTCAACCCGCAGATTTTCGACGTGGGCAAGACTAGCTTATTAACCTGACAAGTCACAGTAGGCCTACACCATACGAACATTTCTTCCACCTTTTTTAATCTATCCATGGTGCCGTTGAGCCTCTTAAAGCTATAGTTTAGTTGCTGAGATGGGTATTTGGATATGTTCAAGTGCCTGCTTGTTACCCCAATCGATAAGGGGGCGTTCATAAAGTACGTACGCATGAAGGGGGAGGTGGTTGGTGTTGTTGCGTACACCATGCTTAAAGGGGGAGGGTTCAAGCCAGTGCGTACCGCACACAAACCGAGAACTTGCCTGTAATGAATCCTCTTTATATCAACACACTTTCTCATAAAAATAAATACCAGAATCAGCTTTTTAACGTCGAAAACCACTCAAACACATGCCTCTGCCGTCCACCCACACCTCCCGTGCCAACACTCCTTGATTTATAGTAAACCACAACATCACTCATCATCAGTGACACAAAAAAGACCAGCAGCGTCTTTTGGAATGCGTATGCGTACAGGGGGAGGGGGGTCTGAAAAGTCGCCAATTCGTGCGTACGTATACTTTATGGACAGGCCCTAAGATCCATTTTACATCATACATTCAGTCAAGTAAAATGATACAAGAAATCCACTCAAACAGACGGTGAAGTGATACAAGTCTCACAAGATTGCCTTGGCAGCGTAAAAACGAGAAGTTCCCCTGCATTTTCAGTCAAATTGGCGTCTGGCATGGTGGTCTCCCATTCGTATGTGGGCGCTGCATGATGGGTACGGCGCCACCAATGACTTCTACATACAACAGCGCACACACAGTTGCTGTCAGTTCTGTGACCACACCCGCAACGCTCTGACGTCATTACACTGGTAATGCCTGCATATCGACTTAAGCCACCAGCACCCATTTTACCGTGCCGAAGACAAAAGTATCGTTTTGGCGCGCTTGTCATTGTAACTATTAAGGGAACGAACGAATTCATTCAACAATGGTGAGCAAGCCTCTGTACCACCTTGTATTCGGCACGTTTAGATGGCCGCCAGTGGCTTCAATTATCTACGGATACTAGTTAGGGCATTATGGGTTCAAATTGCTTTAATAATAATCCATGCCGCTATGCTGGTCTCCCCCTTGTATTGGTGCAGTTTCAGAGAGTAACCACTGGACCCAGTGTAAGAGATCTAAGAAATGTATTCCATAGGCCTACGTTGGGACAATCAGAACCTGATTGTGCACATTTACAGTTTTAAAACAAGAACGCAGACAACCGTCATTATTATATAAGATGAAGTTCTACTCGGCCTCTGAAAAATGTTTGTGCACTAAAGGTGGCGAGACAGCTAGCTCCTGCGGCGCCAAATATGCTCTGCGTGCGTGGAAAATGTGGAGACTGTCTTTAGGGGGTCAGGGATTTGGGTCCTTTTTCTCTCTCTGTGTGTGTTCTTTTATAAAGGCGGGCGATACCTTTCGTCGATTTCTGGTAACTGCGTTTTCCCCCAACGGGAACGGCTGTCGTGCGGCTGTTACGTTGATCGCCTGTCTGCCCTTATGTTGCAACAATCACTTGATACTTGGTCATTACCAACAAATTGAGTATTGGCTGATATTACCCCTTCATTCAAGAAAGGTTCTCCATCAAACTCAGCAAACTATGATGGGCCTATCTCCTTGACATCAACTTGTTGAAGTCACTGGAGCACATTGAAGACAGTCATCTCATGGAACATCTTGAACATTGTTCAATTCTTGTTGAAAATCACACGTTTGCCGCAAGGGCAGATTATGTAAAAGTCAGATTATTTTAACTTTATGTGACTTGCTAGAAATCATAACAGCAATGTGACCATCGATTTAGCCGTCTTGGACTTTGCCAAAGCCTTTGATATGTCGTGTCTCCTCAAAATCTCTTGCATTAACTTAGCAATTATGGAGTTAAGGGGGAAATAAATATGGATCTCAGCATTCCTTAGTAGGCAATCGTCTGCAAACAGCCCCATAACACCTCCTGCCTCAACTGCCTTGCAGATGTCATTTAAAACATGAGGAAGACGTTAGGCCCAAGCACTGTTCCCTGGGAGACTCTACTAATTACATAATGCCATGTTGACGAATTACCACCATTACGGGTTGAAAGCAATTACTGAAGTACAGGAGCTTTAACCCCTGGCGCAGCCTGAAAAGCTTTTCTAGAATGATCTGGATAACCTTGAAAAATGGGCTGCCACTTGAGGCATGTGTTTCAACATACACGTAAGCAAGTGCAAAACCATGCGTTTAGCAAGAAAGAAAACTCCTGGTGTGATGTCCTGTACCATGTCTGGTGACGTGGTATCATTCGACATGATTTTAGATGGGAGTAGCAAACGAATCACGTAGCCACCAAAGCATCCAGAGCGCTAAATTTCATTAGGCGTACTTACCACATGTGCTCCAGATCCATCAAAGAGAAGCTCTCTCTGACACTTTTAGGACCACACTTGGAATATAGTATTGCTGCTTCGAATCTATAAAGAATGAACCATATATCAGCTGTTGAGAAGGTTGAACGGAGAGCTGCCAGATTTGTTTGTGGAGACTACTCAAGAAACAGTAGTGTGACAAAAATATGCTGGCAACTTTAAATTGGGACACCCTCCAGTTGAAACGTGTTACACACCAGATTACAACCTTAAAAAAATTAGCCATCAAATCATCACAGATACTAGTTACATCTTAATATCTAAAACTAAGGAGTCACGGACGGGCAACAGCAAACAATTTGAAAGAATCCATTTTCATCATCGACATTTGAACACTCTCCACCCCCCTAAAAAATCTACCGAAATACGGAACACTCTTCGTTAGACCGTCATTGATTCACCTTCGTCATCAGTATCCAGTCATAACTACAATGTACATCGCAGTAACCCTCTGAAATCAAATTAGTTTCTACTATTCTGAAGGACTCGTTGCTAATCTCCCTAGTGGAGAACAGCAGGAATTTCTACCAAGTATCAAGCCCTCTGTGTTGGCGTTTCTGCGAGTTCGAGTGGTTAGTGATTGAAAACAGGGGTTGTGTTACTGCATGTGTTTCATGCCGCCGTACGGAATTGAATTCAGAAATAGTGTGTGACTTTGGAAAAATGATGTTTATACATCGTTCTTAGCCGACCCGCGTCAGTGTTTGCAGGTTGCCATATAATTTCTATGCGTGGAGCACAATGCATACTTGAAGGGCTATAAGCAAGTGACCGTCTTGGTCTCAACTAATCAAGAGGCCGCATCTAAGAATTTTACACAATGCATATACCGTTACAACAGTTTAACAGTGTTACTCGACTCACTTTCATATTTATTTTTGTGTGCCCACGTGCCTCATCGGAAGAGTGCACGTTTCATGCCACGATTGCATGAAATCACGCAACAGCCGTCAACTGAGTGCTATTCAGAAAGCTTTTTCTTATTCCAGGGCACCACGCCAATTCGCAAAAGTTAAACACAGTAGACAGATTGCTTGTGCCCGGTATGTCACGTGACTTATAGCGGGCGTCATGGTTACAGTTTAATTAAATCAATTCAGTAGAAAATTGTTTAATGCTTTACTGTCTTTATTGTACATTTTGGAAAGAGGTTTGGTCGGATCGCATGTTTTGAGTTCTCACGGTTCTCACGTAGTTATGCCTTTTTCAAAGGGTGATAACAATTTTATCTTGGATTTATGATCTGTCTCTAACGCTCGACTAGATGTTATGTTTGCCTCAGTGTTTGCTTGTGTTTACGCATCGACCAAACTTCCCCATATATCATTTTATTTTAATCTATGTACATATGCATGTATTACACTTTTTTTACCTTCACAAACCCGACCAATCTCACACCACCACGTAATACGGTTTCTGACGCACGACTGGGAATTCGCCCGAGTGCTTGCTCCTGCTAATGTACCAACCACACTCTATGTGACAGCCGTGAGTCAGAAACAGTGGTTCGTAGCGTAGCCCTCGTCCGAAGTCAAGCTTAGCCAACTTTGGACATACCGGGCTTGCTTTCATGCAGGAGAAATTGTGCAAGTAAAATGTTGAGAAATTGCCTCTTAAACATCA